CAAGATGCATTATGTAAAGGTACAATTCCCAATGAGAAATGTAATTGTGTTGTATACCTACAATGTACCAATAAAAGAATTTAATTTTTTAAAAATCACCTATAAAAGAAACTCCATTAGAATCATAGCAGATTTCTCACACAAATTGTCAAGTCAAGAAAAGCTTGGAGTGAAGTATTTCAAACCCTAAAGCAAAACAACCTCCAATCCAGATTCATGTACCCTGCAAAACTATCCTTCAAAATTGATGGAAAAATAAGATACTTCAATGACAAAGAACACCTGAAGAAATTCGTGAACACCAAACCAGCACTCCAGTGTTCTGAAAGATGTTCTAGAAAGAGACATTAAGGATTACAACTTCATGAATCTCAACAGAATGAATCCACCAGGAAAGACATGATATTAAACAAAAAAGGAAAGAAAGAAGCCAACAGCAGGAAAATAACATGACAGAGATAAGACAATACATATCAGTTATAACCATCAATGTAAATGGTCTCAATTCACCAATCAAAAGAAACATATTGGAAGAATGGATCAAGAACCAAAATCCAACAATATGCCGCATATAAGAAACATATTTAATTGAAAAACAAATTCATAGATGGAAAGTCAAGGGATGGAAAACAATATTCCATGCAAAAGGAACCCAGAAAAAAGCAGGGTTAGCTATTCTACTTGCAGACAGCGTGGATTTCAAGCTAAGACTGATTAAGAAAAACAAGGTCACTACATCCTGGTAAAGGGAACAATTCAAGAGGAAGATATAACAATCATAAATATATATGTACCAAATAGAAGTGCAACCAACTATACAAAACAGATATTAATGGACATGAAAAATCATATAAGCACTAACACAGTTGTAATGGGAGACTTCCATACCCCACTGCCACAAATGGATCAACTAGACAAAAAATCAAGAATGAAATATTAGAATTGAACCAAATTTTTGAACAAATGGACTTAGTAGATGTCTACAGAGTATTCTACCCCACAATAACAGAATACACATCCTTCTCAGCTACACATGGGACATTCTCCAAAATAGACCACATACTAGCTCATAGAATATGCTTAAGTAAATGCAAAGGAATTAAAATAATCCCATGCATATTATCAGACCATAGTGGAATGAAATTGCAAATCAATGGCAAAAGAAACCACAAGAACTTCATAAACACATGGAAACTAAATAACACCCTCCTGAACAACCAAAAGTCACAGATGAAATTAAATAAGAAATCAGACAATTTCTACAATTAAATGATAATGCCAGTACAATATACCGGAGCTTATGGGACACAATGAAACAGTCCTGATGATTCCTATGAGGGAAATTTATAGCGGTGAATTCCCATATCAGGAAAAGAGAGTGGGCTCAAATAAACAACCTAATGTTGAACCTTAAGCTTCTAGAAAAAGAAGAGCAAGTCAAGCCCAAAGGTCATACAAGAGAAGAAATTATAAAAATCAGAGCAGAAATCAATGGAAACTAAGAAAACAATACAAAGAATCAGGGAATCACAGAGTTGGTTCTTTGAAATATTAAAACTAACAAACCCTTACTTAACCTTATCAAAAAAAGGAAAGACTCAAATCCATGCAATTAGGAATGAAGAAGGTGAAATCACAACAGATCCTACAGAGATCCAGAAGATCACCAATACCTACTTGAAAACCTGTATTCTAATAAGATGGAAAATACAGAAGAAATGGACAGATTCCTAGACACATGAATTACCAAAACTGAATCAAGAAGATATAGAAATTCTAAATAAACCAATATCAGCCAATGCAATGGAATATGTAATTTAAAAACTACCAACAAAGAAAAGCCCTGGCCCTGATGGATTCATTGCTGAATTCTACAAGAAATTCAGAGATCTAATGTCGCTACTCTTCAGACCCTTTAGTGAAATTGAAAGGAAAACAATACTCCTAAATTCATTCCTGGAAGCAAGCATTACTCTAATTCCAAAACCAGAGAAGGGTCCAACCAAAAAGAAGAATGACAGGCTAATCTCCCTAATGAACATAGATGCAAAAATCCTCTGTAAGATACTGGCAAAAAGAATGCAGCAAATCAACAAGAAGGTTATACACCATGACCAAGTTGGACTCATCCAAGTGATGCAGGGATGGTTCAACATACACAAATTAATAAATGTAATACACTATATTAACAGAGCCAAGGACAAAATTATATGATCATCTCAATAGATGCAGAAAAAGCATTTGACAAGGTCCAATACCCATTCATGATAAAAACCCTACAGAAAATTGGTATAAATGATGATTATCTCAATCTGATAAAAGCCATCTATGACAAACCAACAGCCAACATCATATTAAATGGACAAAAACTGAAAGCTTTCACTCTAAAATCCGGAACAAGACAAGGATGTCCACTATCACCACTCCTGTTCAATATAGTTGTGGAAACATTTGCCAGACCAATTAGACAAGAGAAAGAAATAAAAATAAGGATAGGAAAGGAAGAAGTTAAATTACCATTATTTGCAGATGACATGATACTCTAATAGAAGATCCCAAAACTACACCAAAAGACTTTTAGATTTGATAACCAAATTCAGTGGTGTAGCTGGATACATAGTCAACACTCAAAAGTCAATAGCCTTCCTGTATACAAATAACAGACTCATAGAGAAATTAGAGAAACAATCCCTTTCACAATAGCATCCAAAAAAATGAAATACCTAGGAATCAATCTAACAAAGGAAGTAAAAGACCTCTACGTTGAAAACTACAGTACTCTGAAAATGGAGATTGAAGAGGATATCAGAAAATGGAAAGCTATCCCTTGTTATTGGATAGAAAGAACCAATATTGTCAAAATGGCCATACTTCCAAAATTGTTATACAGATTCATTGCAATCTCAATCAAAATCTCAACAGTATATTTCACAGAATTAAGGCAGGGGGTATCACAATCCCTGACTTTAAATTATGCTACAAAGCTATGGTGATAAAAACAGCATGGTACTGACAAAAGACCTGAGGATCAATGGAACAGACTAGAGGATGCAGACATACTCAACCACCTTATCTTTGACAAAGGAGCCAAACACTTTCACTAGAAGACAGCCTCTTTAATAAATGGTGCTGGGGAAAACTGGCTTTTCACATATCAAACATTGAAACTATACCCATATCTTCCAACATGCACTAACCTAAAATCGAAATGGATCAAAGATCTAAATTTTAAAACAGAAACACGAAATCTGCTGGAAGAGAGAATAGGTAGAACACTTGAGGACGTAGGAGTAGGCAAAGTCTTCCTGAACAAAACCCAGACCTCAGGAGAAATACTACAAAGAATCAACAACTGGGACCTCATCTTATTAAAAAGCTTTTGAACAGCAAGAGAAACCACCAACAGAGAGAAGAAACAACCCACAGAGTGAGAAAATTTTTTTACCAGATATTCAAATGAAAGACTATTACCAAGAATATATAAAGAATTCATAAAATTCAGACCCCCCAAATTTAAAGACTCAATGCAAAAATGGGCATCTGAAATAGAAAGACACTTCTCAGATAAAGAATTCAAAACAGCAAATAAATATATGAAAAAAATGTTCAACATCGCGGTCACTCGAGTGATGCAGATGAAAACAACACTGAGATTGGGGCCGGGATGTAGCTCAGTGGTTCCGCTGCCTGCCTCCCAAGCACAAGGACCCAAGTTCGATCCCTGGTACCAAAAAAACAAAACAAAAACAATGCTGACATGCCATTTCACTCCAGAAAGAATGGCTATCAAGAAATCAACCAATAACAAATGCTGGAGGGGCTGTGGGGAAAGAGGAACCCTGCTCCAGTGCTGGTGGGAGTGCAGACTGGTACAACCACTATGGAAATTAGGGTTTCTCAAAAAAACTAAAACTACAGCTCTAGCTATACTTCTTGGTATCTTCCCGAAGGAATTAAAAGCATCCTATCACAGTGATACATGCACACTCATGTTTACAACAGCACAATTTCTAATAGCTAAATCTTGGAACCAGCCCAAATGCCCATCAACTGACAAGTGGATACAGATGTGATTTTTTATACACTGGAGTAGTACTCTGCCATAAAGAAGGATGAGCTTCAGACATTTATAGCTAAATGGATGGACCCTGAGACCATACTCTTAAGTGAAGTAAATCCGGCACACGTTTAAGTACTGCATTGTTTCTCTGGTGTGAGAAACTGAAAGTGGAAATAAGGACTGAGATGGATAATGGATGTTGGAGAACGGGAAGAAAGTATCCAAATGGGAAGGGGAAGGAGGAAGGAGGGAGGGAGAAAGGAAGGAAGGGAGAAGACAAAAGTGAAAATAGAAGGAAAAAACGGGAACAAAGCTTATGTACATAGGGAGGGGTTGAGGCTTGAGAAGAATGAGATAAAATAAAATTTATTAAAATGCCAAAAAATATATATTCATATTTCATTGGATGAATGTGTATTTAAAACAATGAAAACTGAAAAGATCACATAAAAATACAGATAGAAACTGAATTTCTGGTGCCTCTCTCTCCCTTTGGAGGACCTGTACTCTCTTTCTTTGAAGGTGTATTTGTTAAATTCTATCTAATAAATCCTGTTATGCCTCTTTAAAAAAAAAAGGGGTAGCCCTTTCAATGTTTCATTATTGTGTTTAAATGAAATAGGATATTTTGTATCAAGGTATTTCGTTATATTCTAGGCAACACTCATTCTTCTCACTCCCTTACACGTATCTCCCCAACCCGAGGACTACTGGATGCAATTCCATGTGACTATCTTCACAAGACAAAAATTATCTCAGGATCCTGGTTATCAGTTCAGAAAATACGTATTTCTACACCTATACAAATATAGTAAGATGTTTCAATATTATAACCTTTGTCACAAGTATCTTTTATTCAAAGAAAAACAACATAAATTGCTCATATTTCAGTTTTAATAAAATTCACGTTTCAAAGTAATGTAAAAAGACCACAAATTTTTAATAGATGCATTAAATATTATTAAATAAAAATTATAAAAAATGGACTCTGTACATTACAAAATCATATACAAAACAATCATTTCTTACTGGCACTCTCAGACATAATTTACATCATTCAATGTTTACTGTGGAATGGTAACCATATAAGAAAATAATATCCCTAGCAAAATAAAGTAGAACACAATTTTAATATTATATTTGCAGTATGCAATTTAAGCTTTGTTTTCAAAAAACTATAAATTATCGTATACACAAAGATAAACCAAGAACTGCATTCGATGGCAGAAAACAGCTAATCTCCGATTTCTGGGAGGTCTCTTATTTAATCAGGTTAATATCCCAAAAGCAGGAGTTTCGTTTCTCTTTTACATTTACTATGATTCCAGGCACTTTTTTTTCAAAATACATTTGCATCCTCAAGAAATGCCTGTGGGAGAAAAAGAAGAAAATAGTAATGACCTAGCATTAACAAACATAAACATTTATGCTATATTGTATTTATTCATGTATTTATTTATATTTGTTTGTTTATCTTTGCTTGCAGGCTCTGTGGACTCTTACTATAGTCTAATCCTAATAGTGCAGACTAATGTGCTCATGAAGGAGGTCTTTTAAAAACATAAGATGATGACTTCCCTCTTACAGCTCTATGATCTCTGAACATACCAAAAACATGAATGGACATCATTCAAATAACTCATGATATCGTACTCAATTTTATTAATTTGGAATACTGTTATCATAGTATCTTATTAAATAAGTAAGCAGAAACAGATACTACCAAAAGGAACTACAGAAAAAATACCACTAAATCTCTAAACTCCACAATTTCAAAAAGTCACATTTATCACATCTGTCTTCTATATCTCTAAATAATGTAAGTTTGTATACAATATTTTATTTTTTATTTTTACTTTTTGCTGTGCTGGACATTGAACCCAGGGCCTCATGAATGCTAAGCATATGCTCTACCACTGACCTATATCCCACCCCATATTTTGGATTACCATATACTACTTATTTGGAGGAAATTTTCCAGTAATTACATGGACTTAAGGACTTTATATTCACATAAAACACATTAAAAATTTTAAAAAGAGATAGATAAATTTAGGTCATCTCAATACCCAAATGAATTTTCTTGATTTATTCCCATTTTGCATCATTCACAACCTCTGAGACAGGGTAAGTATAATTAATCCAAGCCTCTTGCCCCTAAATATTGAAACACTTGATCTCATTTTCTTAATCTAACACAAGGGAAAGTTTTAAATTTAGCTTCTTAAATATTCAGAATCAGCAGTGCTAATTATTATTAATCTGTAATATAGCTTGTAAAATAAGAATAACAACAGCAGCAAAATACCCAACTGAATTATAACACAATTCTAATCATAATTGGGCATTTATTTATTTATTTACTTTTTTTCTCTGTAGGTATGTTTGTTTGTGTTTTTTGTTTTGTTGTGGTATCTACAATGCTGGCAATCAAACCTAAGGCCTCACTCATCCTAGGCAAATGCTGTACCTCTGAGCTACCTCCTCAGCCCCTATGATTTGGGCATTTTAAATTATATCACTCAAATCTTTCGTTTGTAATTGTTATTACCTTCATTAATTTAGGTTTCTAAAAGAATTTATTAGGGCAAAGAGTGATGATCATTATTCAGAAAATGAAGTCACAGGATTGTTTCAGTAATGGTCACAAAAAACTCGTGAAATGGGTTAAGTTAATCCCTTGCAGTACTTGGGACAGACTGATGTTATGGCTGGTTTAGAAGTCCCCTCAAGGCCTCATGCAGTCACAGGTGGGGCTTTTCCTGGAATTGATTCATGGTGCAATGCTAGGCTCAAGGGCACTAGGATTAAGGGTGTGAGTGCTGCCCACTCCAAGTAGTCTGCATAAAATAAAAGGTGCAGAAAGACTCTGTTGAGGGTCCCGCCCTTGCTTCGTTGTTGCTTTTGTTACCTTGTGGCAGCCATGAACTATTTAACTGTAAGCTAAATAAACCTTTCCTCCTTTAACTTTGGGTGTCTAGTATTTTGTCTCAGCAACCAGAAAAGTAACTAAGACAGCTGAGTTCCACAGGCTAATGCAAAATGTTTCTGTACTATGGATGTCCTCATGACTGTGACTTTCATTCCCAACTGCATAACTTAACAAACCAGTTTCCTTAAAGGGACTTGTCCATGGTACTGAAATCTGACCCCAAAATGTTGACTTTGTACCAAAAGGGGAAGAACTAGTAATTAGAAAAATACATTTGCAAAGAAATTAGTATCTTTCAATATTTTGTATAGATTCTACTTTTGTAAATAAATATTATAATTTACATTAAGATTTTTTACAATTTATTTTCCTAAGGCTCCTAGGATAATTAAGCCAGAATAAAAATGTTGATTTATCATTCCTCCTTTGTGAATAGACTAGAGCAGATGATGACTACCTGATCATTATATATTTAAATTTTTGCCTTTTTTCTTTTATTTTTCCAATATCTTCCATCTGCTTCTTACACTATATAAAATAGAGTTTTAACGCCTTGTTTTAACTTTATTATATCTGCTAGCCAGTTAAGAAAAGACAGACCTAAGCCAGGGATTTAGCTCAGTGGCACTGCACCTGCCTCACAAGTGCAAGTTTCTGAGTTCAATCCCTGGTACCAACCCCCTCCCCCCCCCCAAAAAAAAAGAAAGAAAGAAAAGATAGACCTATAAATTCTTTGGTTCATCTAATGTTTATCGGCATAATGTTCCCACACAATAACAGAGTAACACCAAAAACTGTTGAATTAGCTTTTTTAATCCCTCAAGACCAGCAAGAGTGCCAAAAAGCTATTTTATCTTAAGGCAATAACTGCAAAGAACATTTTAAATTCATTCAATAAAATAATCAGTGTCTTTAGGCCAAGTTTGAACACAGAGTGAATAATCCACAGATTAAGCTCACTAGGTAGTGCTAAGATCAGCCTTCTGGTCTCCTACTTTGTTCAAAGTTTTGTCAAGAGAGTTAGACTGTTAGGGCTGGGGACAGAGCTCAGTGGTAGTAGAATGCATACTCAGCTTGTGTGAAGCCCTAGATTTGATCCTCAGCACTACTAAAAAGAAAAAGAAAAAAGAAACAAAAAGCAAAAAAAAAAAAAAATCCAAGAAATTAAGTAGTGTTAAACAGAATAAGAAGAATAAATACATACTCACACTCATAGGGTGAGGATTTTAGGTCTGTGAGCACAGCGGACTCACTGACAATCTTGTTAGCAATCTGGCACATCTTTTGTAATCTAGGAAAAACATTTAGACAAATTATGTATGCAGTTATAGTGTCGGGAAAATCATGTTAGTTGTCACCAATTCATCTAGCAATAGCTACAATTTAATGAGCACCTAATATATCAACTGCTTATCATGGATTTTCTCATTAATTCCCCCAATAACACAGTCTAGAAAGTGTGATTTTTAATCTTCATGTAGAGATGAGAAAAGAGCCTCAAAACAGTACTTAGCTCATAGCTCGTACACAGTGGGTCCCAAAGCCTGCACTGTCTCCACCGCACTGTGCTACCATTTAGAGATTTTTCCTTGACTCCAATGTGCTTCCTTCTCCCTAACCATTCAATACTAGTAATTTTTGAAAAAGAATTACAATAATCCTGATTCAACATTCTGAGTAAAATTAAATATTTCTTAAAATGAACAAGCCAGATAATAAGGAACAAAATGCTTAAAATTCATTTTCTTTAAAAGGAAAGTTTAGGCCTGGAAAGGAATTTAAAAACAGGCAAGTGAGTTATTGCACATAATCATAATTTGGGCATTTTAAATGTTAGCACTTTAGTATTATGTTTGGAATTATTATTAACTTCAGTAACTTAAGTATCCAAAAGAATTCATTAGAACAAACTGTTAATAACACATGCTACCATTATTCGGAAAACATCCAGCACCCCATTTATAAGTGACATGATATAAAAATATTTACTTTAAAATAACTTACAAGGAAATTTTGACTTACATTTCATAGTCACCTCAGTTTTTCATTTATATGAGAGAATACTTTATTTATGCCAAGGAATTTGAGTAATGATAAAATGCTTCAATCCAGGCAACCATTTTGATATTTAAGGAAATCTGGCTATTTTCAGATTTGGATATATTTCCAACTAGAATGTGATTTTATTCCTTATAGTTTTAACAGCATATACAAATCTTAAGTACTGTCAGTGTTATAAATAGCATCCCATGCAGTGTTTAGTCTATTATGTCCCGTTCGAAGACAGTTGGAGCTTGAAACTACATACATTCATTGCTGTACAAGGATTTTTTTAAACTGCCCAAGTGACTTACAAGCTGGCATTGAGCAATCTCTGGTATTGTGATAGAGGCGATGGAAATGTTTGCTACATTCAGCTGAGAATGTGACTGGCCCTGGAAGACAGGAAGAGAATGCTTATTATAAACCTAGGCATGTCTTCCAAACAAATTGCTAGCACTTTACGGATGATATAATATAACTGTACTTTCACACCCTTCCTGCCTTAAAAGAACTTGCCTGAGAGCGCTTCCTCTCACTCAGATTCTGCAGGAGGGAGGGAGTTGTGATCTGTGGAAAATAATCTAAATTCATTCCACATTCTCAACATCTCACATCACGGAACCTTCATTTCCAGTAGAACGCTTTAGAGCAATGGGAATGGAAAAGCCCCAGATAGAAGAGAAAAAATGCATAGAGAGCAAATTAAGTGGATGTGAGAAAAGAAACATTATTGATTTCCACTTTGTTCTCTAGTTTTTTTATTTGATAGGAAGAGACATTTATTTCACTTTTCAATTAAAGTGACAGGTGTCATCTTAGTGTTCAAGACTGCTGTAAAGTAGGCATGCCCTTGAGACGTCCCTCACCTTTCCCTACAAATCCAAGGCAGACTCCATGGAAACTTTCAGCCTTTCACCTGGGGCCTGCCTCTTACACAAATGGAGAAGTAGAAGAGCCTTCGGTCTGGCCAGTAATACTACGCATCCTTACACATGAGGCAGATGGATCTCCACTCAATCCTCATGACCACAATTTTAAAGTTCATTAACAAATATGGTGCTTGTATTTGATTACGTAGGAAAGCCATATGTGAAAACTACATCTTTCCCACCATATAGTCCTGGAATGTAAAACAATAAATGGTAGCTGGAATGATTAGGATGAGAGAGGCAACAGTAAGTGTAAGGGACAGACTGTTCGTAAGAATTTAGTGATTTTTCTATAACTTGGAGAATAGGATGATCTGAACATGATTCACAACAGCATCATGACAGAGCATCTCATCTATGCCTAAGACAATATATCCAAGTCTGTTTCCCCCCTGCTCAAAATTTCTGTTGACCCTGTTGGCTGGGAACACTGTCAAAATTCCTCAGTATGCCATGTAAGATCATTCACAATATGATTTCACCTACCTTTCCAGCCATAAATTTGCCCTGACCAAATGCATCCTTACCTAAATTCACTCACAGTTCACACCATCCACCTGTCCTTCCCCTAACCACACAGTGAGCCATTATGCTTTGTTCAATGGACTCCTAACTAGATGCTGCTCTCATCTTGGAAAAAAACCTTGTTCACCCTTAAAGGCCAATGTAAATGCCATGTCCACTACAAGCCTTTCCTCATTCTGGGCCAAACTGTTCACTTCCTGTGTGTCCCTAAAACTCTGTTTATACTTCTTTTACTTATCACAGTCTGATGTACATTATAGTTTATACAGGTGAGTAGCAACTGGCTAGACTGTGAACCTCTTCTACACATTTATCTTCATATTCCCAGTTCCTAACATAGTGCTCTGCATGTAATCTTTTTATTTAACTGAATCACTAATAAACTGTGGGCTTACCTGTGAAATGCTTTATGAATTTGTCTTTCAAGTTTAAATCTCTTGGGAATATTTCTGAAAAGAAAAAGAAAGACTTTAGAGTTCCTAGAATGCACTTCTACTATTTAAAAATATTCTTAATGTATCAAAATTACAAGCCCTAGCCAGATGGATCAATGGCAGTTTATGAGCTGATCTCAGATCTCTCTCTTCATCCCTCACCACCCCCTGGGACTCCAGAACTCCAGGAGAGCTCACTGCTTGCTTTACCAGAGCACCTACACACCTCTCAGAAGCACACAGTCCTAACCAAACATCTCACTTCCCCGAACCTGTCCTCCCACCTAATGTTCCCCTGCCATCATAAATGGCATCACTTTTTACTCCCCGCTCAGTCTGAAAATCAAGAGGTTACACCTGATTTCCTCTTGCCCTCGCCATTCCATCCAACCAATAAACTAGTGTTGTTATTTCTTTTCCAAAAACATATCCCAGCCCTGTGCACTTCCGTCTCCTTCCATTAGCACAGCCTGGCCCAAGTCACCACACTTCTGTGACTTTGTTTTGACAGCAGCCTCCTAACCTGTTTTCTCCTTCTCATAATCCTTTTTCCCCTGAAGCAGCCAGAGCAAATGAGCTGAAATATACTTCGGATCATGGGACTCTCTCACTTCAAAGGCACTGAGCTTAAAATAAAATAGAATTTGACAATCAAGCTGTGTCTCAGACTTCAACTGGCATTCACTAAAAATACGCTGTACAGATAATGCGATTTATAAAAGTAAGTGGGCACATATATAACTCATTTAGAAGAAGAAAAACCTTAACCTTAATAAAATACTTGAAACTCCAAGGTTTGGAGGAGTTGTACATTTAAACTTATAATGCTTTTATTATAGATGGACTCCTGTGTATGTCAAACATATAAGAGGGAGATGAACATGTGTCACTTGCCACAGGTGAGTCTGAGCTTAGACCAAATGAAGATGCAGGGGTTCAGTTGCTCTTTACATCCTGAAAGCTGACAAGGGTGTGAGATCCCCTCCCCCATCAGGCAGTCCCCCAGCTTCTGATGGCCAGTGGGAGCCCTGGGCACGAATGGGAGCAGTGGGCAGGAGTGCCAGGGGCGGTCACTCCCTCCTGTTGGGTGACAAACACATGCTCTTTACAATCAAAAGTCATCCTGAAAAAAAATAAAGCAAGAGTGCAACTGAACGTGTTTCTATAGATCTTTTGGTGTTCTCGTCAATGATACTCCAACTTACACAAGACTCTTTCCCTCGTGCCTCTCTGAAACTGAGCAATGCAGCTTGGCCTCTACGACATCAGCACTTTACATGGTATCTGGCCAGGCAGCTACACTGGCACTTTCTGAAAGATGAGCCAACTAAGTGCAAAAAGATGTTAAAGTGTGTCCAAAGGCTTTAGAAATAATTCTACTTCCGAGAGCATTTTAGACTACAGTTTTAATCTGTAGATAATTCAGGTTTGTAAAACTTTACACATTTTAAGTAAGTTATCCCCTATTCTCTACCCTTATAACATATTTTCTAGCTTCTGTCAAAGCAGTTGCCACATTCTGATTAGCGTAAGAGTGCACGGGGTGTGTGTCTGTCCCTGCTACAACTCTGTGGGCTCCTGGAGGAAGAGACACTGTCATGTTCTCCTGGAACACCAGCAGCATGCACAGCACCACTTTCCCAACGGGAGACACCTGTTACCTTTCAAATGGAAATGACCCACGCCTCACCTGCACGCCATACAGGCCACCAGAGCATCACAGTTTTAGTACACTTGGCTAAATTTCAAAGTACAGACTTTGTACACGAACAAAAGAATGCATAACAAATGGACTGAACTGAAGCCGAGAAGCGGTATTTAAGATGATCCCCAAAGTACTGAACAAGTGATACCTGAGCAAAAAGAGACAAAAGGAAGCCCTGCCTGTGTTTCAGGGTTTGATTGGCTAAGGGAGAGCGGAAGTGAGCAAGAGGGACAGAAGACAAGGATGCAGGTGGACCGGGCCTCACTCTCCTTCACAAACACTGTGCTTAATGACAGGGACTATGAGGAGGCAAAGGGTTTGGGGCAAGAGAACAACATGGTCAAGCTCCATTAAAACTAAAATTACTATGAAGGAGGGGGAAATAGGAAGACGTTGGTCAAAGGATACAAAGTTGCAGATATGTAGAATGAGTTAAAGTCTTGATGTACAACATGAGGATTATAGCTTTAAAATATGCTATTGCATGCAGGGTAATTGCTAGGAGAGTATATTTTTAGGTGTTCTTACCGTGAACAAGTACCTCTGAGATGATGGATGTGTTTATTTGCTACACTACAGCAACCATTTCACTAAGCACACATTTATCAAAGCATCATGTGGAAGACATTAAGTATAAAAAATAAAAAATTAAGTGACATGTACAGTTCAAAAGTCTTTAACAAATAAATATTAAAAATAAAAATTTAAAGATCATTATGTCTACTATGGAAGAGCAAGAATAGATGCAAAGACTATTTTAAATGTTTACAAAGCAGTAAATGTGTTTGAGGACGGCACAGGCCTGGCCCTGGATTAGCAAACAACTGCTCAGGAGCCATATCTAGCCTCACATCTGTGTTAACAAACAAAGTGTTACTGGGGCACAGGCATTTCCACTGCTCACATGTTATCAGTGGCTGCTTTTTCACTAGCATGCAGAGCTAAGCCATTACAGGGATAATAGGTCAGAAAGCCAGAGTCACATACTTTTTGGCTCTTCCTATAAAAAATTTGTTCAACAGTACTCTTTTCTTTGTATTAAACTAAAACAGCAAGAGGTGCCAGGAAAGAGAGTTGAGAGAAGAGATTTTTCCATGCTCACCCTTTTGATGACTTTCAACTTTTGAACATAAGTCTGTATTAGTTCTTTCAGTAAAAAACTGATCAATTGAAAATAAATTTACATTTCATAATGCAAACTTTGATGTACCCTTGTCATTGTGTAATTCGGTTACTTATTGTTACTATTGTTCTGTATTTTTATCACTTCTTTATATCTGGCTTTGCCAGATACTCCAAGACCCATCTTGTATTACTCTCTGTCTTAGCTCTAATACCAGGGATTTCTCCAAGGAGCCCTGATTCCTTTTATTTGGAAAAAATACATGAAGCTACAGACCAGGACCTCAGTGGGCTCATTCTGACTGGGGTGTGGTACTTTCTGGAGATGTAGCTCACTAGGCCCGGAGTTCAATCTCTAATACTGCAAAAAAAAAAAAAAAGTAAAAAGTAAAACAAAAGAAATGACATACAGTCAATACTCCCTATCTGTAAGTTCTACATCTTCGGATTCAACCAACTGTGGACAGAATATACTCGGGGAAAAAGAAAACTGCATCAGTACTAAATATCTACAGACTTTTCTTGGTCATTATCCTCTAAACAGTACCATATAATAACTGTTTCTATTGTATCTGCATGGCCTTAGATTTTATAAGGAATCTAGGGATGATTTAAAGTACACATCAGGATGTACATAGGTTATATGCAAATACTAAACCATTTTGTGACAGTCTTTGAACATCTGTGAATTTTGGTATCTGGCAGGGGGGTCTAGAACCAATCCCCCATAGATTCTGAGGGAAAACTGTTTCGCACTTTAGTTTTCCAGGACTGCCACGACAAAATTCCATAAATTAGATGGGTTACATCACAAGATACTTATTGCCTTGTGATTCTGACGGCTAGAAATCTGAGATCAAGATGTGGAGAGGGCCATGCTCTCTGTGAAGGCTCAGGGGAAGGACCCTTCCTTGGCTTCTCAGCTTCTTGTAGCTCCAGATCTCCCTGGCACTCTTTGGCCTCACTCCCACTCTGCGTTCATCATGACATGGCTCCTCCTGCATCCATATATCTTCACGTGGCATCAGATTGGAGCATTGCAGAAATATTTAACTAAGGGCCTTTCTGCTATATTCTGACATTATTTTAACTAATTACCACATTTGGAGGCCCTAGGGTGTGGTGATGGAACATTTCTTTTTGGTGCAACAAAATTCAACTCATATGGAAATCTGAATCTACTACAAATATACTGGATTTTATTAGTTTGATTATCAACATTATTTATTTTCACAACAATTTGTTCAAAATTATTTCTCAATGTTTTAACCAAGATAGCAAAAATATAACTTACAAAATCTCAATGTATGCATAACTTTTACATAAATAAACATAGAAGTCCTGTTAAATCCCCTGCAAAAGAGATCAGCTAGTCAGTTTGGTCAATACAAGTTGTTAAGAACCAACTGCAAAGACTATTTCAACTAAAACGTCTCAAAACAGAAAATAGTTTTGAAACACTCACTCCAGGTAATTTAGATGGCTTAAAATTTGTTGCTGGAGTAGCATTTAGATTTTTTTCTAATTGTCTAAGTAACTTTTGAAAAAGTGAATTATTATTTAAGTATTTATTTTTACCCTCAAAGGTTTTAGAGACAGGATTCATATCCTAATATTGAAAATAAGAATATTTTTGGAAGATTTCAATTGCTTTCAAGACAGATTTTTTTTAATTATTTTTCATTATTGAGCAGTTTCAGATATACAGAAAAATTATGTAACAGAAAATAATCTCACGTACCCAACATCTACTTTCTCCTTAAATAGCATCTTACATTAGTACAGCACATTTCTTGCAATTAATGAACCAGTACTGACACATTACTCACAAAGGTCCAGATTTTATTAGTTATCAGATTTCCCTAGTTTATGCCTAATATCCTATTTTTTCAGTTGTCACATCTCCCAAGATCCTTTTGGCTGTAACAGTTTCTCAAACTTTCTTTGTTTTTGATGACTTTGACAGTTTTAAGGAATGCCGGTCCAGTATTTTGCAGACGGTCCTTTATTTGGAATTTGTCCTTTTTTCTCATGACTCGATTGGCGTTATCAGTTGGAGGGGACTGCGCAGGTGAGATGTCATTTTCTTGACATCACACGAAGGGCACATAGTACCAACGTCATTCATAATCAGTGCTGTCGGCTTCGGCTGCCTGGCTGAGGCAGTATATATTTCCATTGTAAAAGT